CCCTGAAGAAGAAGAAGTTGGAAAAAGTTGGATGAAATAAAAGGTGGTGGGAAGAAGAAGGAAAAAGGAGCTGTCCTGGAGGTGAAGAAATTCCTGAGGAGGTGCCTGGAAGAAAGTAAGGTGGAGTGGTGGAAGGTGGATGGAAGAAAATAGGACGAAGTTAGACAGATTAAGTGGTTGCGTGGTGGTAGGAGGTTAAATGTACAAATTCTGGAGGTCCTATGAATAATTTGTCTGGAGGTGGCAGTCCCCTGAGGAGAAAAGGTAGGTAGGTCCTGGTGAAAGTTGAAGAGGTGGTGAGTGAAAGGGGGAAAGGAAAAAGAAGAATCGGATGTCAAATGTCTGGAACGGGAGGATGAAAAAAGTTGGAAGAATTCCTGGTGTCTGAAGGTGGGTTGAAAATGTTTGTATAAGAAAAAATGTGTCTAGGAGTGATGAAAAAGAAGTAAGAAGATCAGAGGAAATTCTAGCTTACCAGTTTAAAAGAAGACGAGAAAAGGGGGAAGGTGAGAAAGTTTGGAAAAAGATAGAAGGAGAGAGGAATGGAGGGAAGAAGAAGAAAGGTAGAAGAAAGGAAGGAAAGGAGGGAGGAGTCTAGGGGAGAAGGAAAGAAGGTGAAGGAGGATAAATAAAAGGAAGAGGAAGAAGGTGGTCAGGAGGATGCAAAAGGAGGAGGAGGTGAAGATAGAAGGAGGAAGGAGGATGAATATAAAGATGAGGAGGATGGGAGGATGAAGAATGAAGTAGAGATAAGGGAGGAGGTACATCAGAAGAAAGGAAGGTGGATAGAAAATGAAGAGAAGGAGGATCGAAAAGGAGGAGGAGGAGGAGGAAAGGGAAGAGAAGATGAAGAAAGATAGGAAGAAGATGAAAAGGAGGAAGAGGAGGGAAGGAGGCAAGAAGAGGAAGGCAGGAAGAAAGGAGGGAGGAAGGAAGAGGAAAAAAAAAGGGGAAGGGGGGGGGGAAAAGAAGAGGAAGGAGAAGAGGAAGGAGGAAGAAGAAGAGAAAGGAACGAAGATAGAAGAGGAAGAACGAAGGGCGAAGGGGATAGAGGAAGGAAGAAGGAAAAAGACGGGAGGAAGAAGAAGAAGACGAAGAAGAAGAGGAAACGAAGAAAAGAGAGAAGAAGAGACACAAGAAAGAAAACGAAGAGGAAAAGAGAAGGAAGGAAAGAGTGACAAACGGGAGAAAGATGACAGGGATTAGAGAGAGCCGAAGAAAAAAAAAATGTAGAAGAACAGGATGAAGAAAAAAATGAAGTGGCAAACATGAGAGGGATTGGGGGGGAGGAAATGAAGAAGAGGGTGAAGAGGGATAAGGGGATGAATAAGAAGAAGATAATGAAGAAGTAAAGAATGAGGATTGAAGAAGAAGAAGAAGAAGATGAAGAAGAAGAGAGGTTGAAGAAGAAGAAGAGGATGAGAAGAAGAAGTGGATGAAGAAGAGGATGATGAAGAAGAAGAAGAGGATGAAGAAGAAGAGGATGAAGAAGAAGAAGAGATGAAGATGGAAGAAGAAGAGGATGAAGAAGAAGAAGTGGATGAAATAAATAAAGGAGGAATTCCAGCTGTCCCTGCAGAGATCTCGTATTTCTTTGACAGTTCCTTGACTTTTATAGCAGTTGCAAACATTGTATCTATTTGTTTGCCGAATTAAAAACATCTGAATCTCCAAAAAAAATTTGTTTGGGGGGGATACAAATAGATACATTGTTGCAACCGCTTATAAATGAAAAAAAAGCACTGACACTGTTCTAATGGCAGTGGGCAGGAAGGGGTTAACATGAGGGGTGATCAAATGGCTGTGTGCAAGAACTGTTCTACTAGGGGTCGGTGTCTGTGTGCTTCACTGTAATCACACTGCTCTGGATGGCCGTGCTGTGCACAGAGCAGTGTGCCCGAGCTGACAGGGAGAACTGTTAGTAAACAAAACCGTACTCTCCCCGTCGGAGATGTTCGATAATCACCAGCCGGGACCCGGTGATAGAACAGCCGCGGCCACAAATTTCCCCTACCCGCAAATGCAAAATTACATATACATGTGATTTTGCACAACCCTGCTGCCCTGTAGCAGTATATCTGCTATAGGGCGGCGGGGAAAAGCGGTTAATGAAAACAATAATTGACCAGCTAATCGATCAAAATGATCATTGGTTGCGGCCCTACTGGGATCATGCCTGCAGATACAGGTATCATCCTGGTATACCAGGTATGTATAGAGCCTTAGGATCCCTGTACACTAGCAGGTTTTTTGTTATTCTTTTTTAAAGCTAAAAAAACACTGGAAAAAATGCTGGATCTAAAAACGCTGGCAGCAGAGCTTTTTAATAGCATTAAGGAGTGTTAGCATTTTTACATTACATGTAAGGGAGAAAAAAAGAAAGCTAGAAATAAGTGGTTAGGAGTGCTTTAGCAGCTAAATGCTACTAAAACGCTTCTAACAGCTTTTTTTCCTAGCTTATTTTTTTCTTTGTACTGTAAAAACGCTAATAAAATGTGAACGCTCCTAAATGCTACAAAAATCAATATTACCAGTGTTTTTTTGAGCTTTACAAAAAAAAAAAACCCCAACATTAATGTGCATGGAACCATTAGCTTCTAGCAGAAAAAAAGTGCTAATAACAGCTTCTAGGCGCTTAAAAAAAATGCTAGCGTGCATGGAGCCTTAATCGATTAATGGAAACAATAATTGGGCAACTAATCGATTATCAAAATAATCATTGACTGCGGCCCTATTGGGGTGATGCCTGCAGATACAAGCATCATCCTGGTATGACCACTGAAAGTCCAGTATATCATATGAAATCCTACAGGCAGGAAGTGGTTAAACCCAAAATGTATATATATTGCAGCTTACCAATCATTAGATGTGGTGGCGGTTTTAGTTCCCCCCGCGCTGTGTTCACCTGGTGATCTGGCCAATATCACACCTCCTATATTAGGGTGCCTTCACTCTGGATGAAGGAGCACAGGGGGCACCTTTGGACAGCAGCATTGTCAGTCTGCAGGGACAGGAGTCCCTGAACTGCTTAGATGAACTAGCAGATTTATATACTCTAACAAACTGAACTCCAGCGAAGGCTCAGTTCACACCTATGCAGCTTGCATTTGATCCGTTTCTGCAGTGCTTTTTGCGATGCACTTTTGATGCACTTTGCATTTTCTTTTCCAGCTTGTTGCTGGGCAGAATAAAAAGCAAAACTCATCTAAAAACGTGCCAAAAATGCACCACATGCTTTTCTGCAGCGTCTCCATTGAAGTCTATAGAACAAAAAAAAAAAAAAACGCAATATTTTGCATTTAAAAAAAAAAAAAAAAGTCCCCGACCCTTTCCAAAAAATGCACCGTGTTGTAAACGCGGAGATGTGCACGTATCCCATGAGAAATCATGTTAAATGGACTGCTGAGCGTTTTTGCAAAACGCAGCGGCGAGCGTTTGTGAGGTGTGAACCTAGACTAACACTGCAGTCACAGCAACATTTTTGTTTTCTTTTGGGATAAAGGTAAATAAAAAATAAAAAAAAAATAAATAAATAACTGATAATTGTAAGCACCTCTGTCAGTGGTAGTTTTCCTCAACCCTCTGCTACATTTACAGGAGAGCTTGTTCTGTTGAGAAGCAACTGACTTACTGGCTGGATCACCAAATGAAAATAAAGGACAGAAAGCCTAAAAAAAGAAAACTAATGCAGCCATCACATCTAATGATAATATATTAGATTTGTTGGACTGGGCATACTACAACTAGGACAGTTTTACTGTATGCTTTGCCTTTAGATCCATTTTAAATTGGTTTGTCTCACCCCTGATGGCCAGCACTCAGAAGATGCCAGCAAGGCCACCCTTTAGTGGCACTTTAACCCCCTCCCAGTGTTCAGCGAAATTTTACCACCCCCACAAACCGCTATTAACCCCACCACTGCCCAATAATTGTGATTATCACAGGCTCCCAGGTATGTATAGAGATCCTTGTAATAAATGGTATACTAAAAGCACTGCAATAAAGACTTACCTAGAGCAGCTCTCCTCCAATCACTCTCCTCCTCTCACAAAGCCCATGTATGTGATCTATAGAGCCCATACATCTATATCTCCCCCACATACCCAACCCCATCCTATGAGCCCTGTATATACCGTGTACAATGGCCGGGACAGCGGCGCTCCGCTCACATCCGCCGATCACACGCAGGACCTCTTTTTTTTTTCTCCTCCTTAACGTACAAATTCAAATCTGCCGCTTTCTACAGGATCCTTCCGCCAAGATAAAATAGTTCCACGCATTCACATAACTCGGCTCACTGGAACGGTTCATTTGTCCTTCCCCTAACGAATCCATGTCCCGTGATCAGTTACGTACATGCAGGCAAGCACAAAACCGGAGATAACGAAAAAAAAACAGCTGGGAATGTTCCGCGGAAGAATATTGGAATGAGATAACGGCTGTGCAAGAAATGTTAGATATGTCAAACGGCGCATGCGCGTGGGTTTTTTTTCCCCGACGTATGTTGTCAAAGCTGCCATTTTTGTTTTGGGAGAAGAAATTTTGTATTAGAGAGTGATGTAATAATTAAAAAAAAAAGCTTGATTTACTGGCTTCCATCTCAATTATTATTTTCTTCGTGAAATGTATTCGGGTTATTGAGCTGTACTCAGGGAAATGTTATCGTCCACGTCCTGTACAATGAATTAAAAGTAATGACTAGTATGCAACTGTGCGCTGGTTTTCCGACTTTCGTCCAACTAATAAGTAGTTGATTGACCTGCCCTCAGTTAAAATGGCATTTCCGGGCAATTTCCTTTCAGCCAATAGAGGTAAGGAAGAGACGCTCAATCGTAGGGAGGGCGAGGCCTCACAGAGAAAAGTTTGCAGATACGCCCACCGTGAAGCTATTATGTCCCCGCCCACTCCCTGTTCCCATTGGTTCATCAATGTCTTGCCGTAGATCTGGGATTGGTGGGGTCGCGGAGCTGTCACGTTGCTCAGCAGCTCTCTTCCGGGTTGGCTGGAGAAGGGGAGCTGCCTAGTGTGGGAAGGGACCCGAGTATGAAGAGGGTCACCCTGTTCGTGAGGGGGACTGCCCGGACCGGCAAGGTGAGAAGGACAACGGGGTACACTCACAGCAGAGCCCCCAGGAATAGTGCCTTCTAGCCCCAAGTGTCGGACCCTCCAGGTATAGGCTCCCCCAGACGTGGGAGCTTGCAGTTATAGGGTCTCCCTGGTGTGGGAACCCCCAGGTGTGGCTTCCCCCGGGTGTGGGAACCGCCCCCCCCCCCCCTGTGTAGGGTCTGCCAGGTGTGGGAACCCTCGTGTAGAGTCCGCCAGGTGTGGGAACCCCCCCAGTGTAGGGTCCGCCAGGTGTGGGAACCCCCCCAGTGTAGGGTCCGCCAGGTGTGGGAACCCCCCCGGTGTAGGATCCGCCGGGTGTGGGAACCCCCCCCCGGTGTAGGGTCCGCCGGGTGTGGGAACCCCCCCCCCGGTGTAGGGTCCGCCGGGTGTGGGAACCCCCCCCCGGTGTAGGGTCCGCCGGGTGTGGGAACCCCCCCCCCCCGGTGTAGGGTCCGCCGGGTGTGGGAACCCCCCCCCCCCGGTGTAGGGTCCGCCGGGTGTGGGAACCCCCCCCCCCGGTGTAGGGTCCGCCGGGTGTGGGAACCCCCCCCCCCCCCCGTGTAGGGTCCGCCGGGTGTGGGAACCCCCCCCCCCCCCGGTGTAGGGTCCGCCGGGTGTGGGAACCCCCCCCGGTGTAGGGTCCGCCGGGTGGGGGAACCCCCCCCCCCCGGTGTAGTGTCCGTTGGGTGTGGGAACCAGGTGTAGTGTCCGTTGGGTGTGGGAACCCCCCCCCCCCCCCCCCGGTGTAGTGTCCGTTGGGTGTGGGAAACCCCCCCCCCCCCGGTGTAGTGTCCGTTGGGTGTGGGAACCCCCCCCCCCCCCCTGGTGTAGTGTCCGTTGGGTGTGGGAACCCCCCCCCCCGGTGTAGTGTCCGTTGGGTGTGGGAACCCCCCCCCCCCCGGTGTAGTGTCCGTTGGGTGTGGGAACCCCCCCCCCCCCCGGTGTAGTGTCCGTTGGGTGTGGGAACCCCCCCCCCCCCCCGGTGTAGTGTCCGTTGGGTGTGGGAACCCCCCCCCCCCGGTGTAGTGTCCGTTGGGTGTGGGAACCCCCCCCCCCCCCCGGTGTAGTGTCCGCCGTTGGTGTGTGGGAACCCCCCCCCCCCCGGTGTAGTGTCCCCTCCTGGGTGTCGGAACCCCCAGATGTAGGCACCCCCTCAGGCGTTGGAACCCCTAGATGTAGGCCCCCCCCCTCATGGGCTTCTGCCCGGTATTGTCTCCCCCAAGCATGGAGCCCCCCCCCCAGGCATAGGAGGTGTGCCAAATGTGTAGGCTGTCCCAAAAGTAGGTTCCCCCCCAGGTATGAGACCCCCAGGGTACATGCTCCCCCAGGTATTGGTTGTACCAAATGTAGGCCTCCCCCTCAGGTGTGGGAAGCCCGGTGTGTAGGCACTCCCCCATCCCCTCAGGTGCATGAAGCCCCAGGTGCAGATCCTCCCCCACCCGTTTTTTTCCCCTTTTCTTTTCTCGGTGAGCCTGTAGATAACACCCTTCTTTTCCGGGTAATTACACTCATTTTTGCACTGTATCTGTAGAAGGATCCATGGTTGTCACTCATGACGTACTTCAAACATTTCTGCTTTTGTCCATCTCTATGACATTGTGGTTGATGAGATTTGTACTTTACAGAAGAGAGAGAACCTTGCTTTTGCTGTCTTCAGCTCACAGGAAGGTTGTGGCAAGATCAACAGGTATTTCCTGTACTTGCTGACAATGTACTAATGCAGCCACCACATCTGAAGACTGGTAAGCTGCAATTTATTACCTGCCCTGCCTCTTAACCTCCTCCAATCAGAGATGCAAAGCATTCTCTGAAAGGCACCAGGGGCCCCACCTCCTGTGTTTAGAATGCAGCAGGGCAGCTACTCATCACAGGACCCGGAAACAAGTGGAGATCACTGGAGTAGAGGGGTCTAATTCAGTGATTTCCAGCTACAAGGGGGATTAGCCAGGTAAGGTATATACATAGTCCAAGCTGGAACAAAGTAACTGTAAAACTATACCATGCCTGGAATTCTTCTATAATTATTACTGTATCCTGTCACCCCCACTCCCTTTTCTACATTTATTTTTCCTACCTTTCCTTTTTGACTCCAGAACATAATGCATTGGATCTAACAGATATCGGAAGAACAGTCGCTGTAAAAACATTGACAGGTATTCCGATCCCTTTCCACTCTGTCCAAAACTAAAGAGCAAAAAAAGGTTTGCCTTTTATTTGGACATTAAAATTAGTTAACTTGTGCAGGTGTCTGGAGATCTGGAAAACAGTTAGAATGCTTTACGAAACTATAGCAACCAAGCTTCTCTTGTTCACTGCTCTCTAAATTAAAATGCTCCCCTCCAAAAAGACAAGGGTCTCAACTGTACCCTATACAAGTGGTTGCTTTTGATAACAGACAGTTCCTCTTTGTCTTTGATACAGACTTATGATCCTCCAAAAGACATACCCCCTCTTCCTCCTCTTCCCACAGTCAGGATCCTTCTGTTATGACCAGATTCCTCAGTCTCTCATCCTGCACAGATACTCCCTTGGCATTACCTAGCCTTGCCTACCTTTCTACCCAACTTTCTTCCCTCCATCTAATTCCTGCTATTCTTTCTCCAACAGGTTATTGCTGTGCATGGCTCATCCATCTCAGATCTTCTGTCGCTCGCTAGTACAAAGTTAGGAATCCATGCAACAAATGTATATAATGACAGAGGTGGACACATTGATGACATCACCCTAATCCGGTACTACCTCGTGTTTCAGATATTCATTTTCAGCAAAAAAAAAAAAAGTTTTCTTTTCCATTAGCCTGAATGTTCTGTGTGTTGCAGTAATTAAAGAAGAACTCTTATGATTACTAAAAAAAAGAATATTAAAAGAGAAGTAGGGCTTTTCTTTTTCTCTTTTTGCCCTTATTTATACTTACCTTGGTGGATGCAGCATTGGTCCCCTGTCGGCTCTAAGGGTGAGAACTCAGCAATCAAATGACCGCTGAGTTCCACGCAGAGCAGGGACTGTCAGTCACCACTGTCTGCTCCCCAGCGCTCACTGCAGCCTGTGGCCTGTGTAGAGGGTGGGAGCAGATGGCTCAGGATATCAGCGCTTTGCTGAGAGGCTGAGCCAGCTGCCGCTGCAGACTCGGGTGGATCCCAACTATAAAGTCAGGATCTTTCCCCAGGCTGGACCGGCTGAGTGATGTCAGCCAACAGCAGTCTTCAGCCTGCTGTCAGCTGAAAACTGGTCACAGGAGTGCAGAATGAACTGCACTCCTGTGATCCACAGAAGTACAGCCAAAAGAGCTTTGGCTGTTCTTTTAATGTATGTAAAGATACCTTGCTTTGACCCTGCAATCCTTTGTCTTTGTGTTTTAAAGCAGTAGTAAACCTTGTAATTAAAAAAACAAAACTTTTTCCCTGCAAGACAATGTCATAATAATCATCACATGCTAGCACATTATGTGAAACTTAACTGACAACGAAGCCCTCCAGCAGCATGCTGTCACCACTGACAGGGCTTCCATCTTCACCTGGATTCACGGGCTCAGGCAGTTTGTATGGCTGAGCTGTGATGGCATCACTTATGCGCATGCATGAGGGAGTTACTTTTTATGGCACACAGCTCTCAAGGGATGGTATGGGTGTGCCATTCCTTCAGAGCGCATGCGCCCCTGCTGCTTTACAGGTGTGTATCTCCTAAATGGTGCATGTTTAGGAGATATTTACAGTACCTACAGGTAAGCCTTAATACAGACTTACCTGTAGGTGCAAATAAAACAAACAGACTTTACTACCACTTTAAAAGAAGTTGTAATTTTTATTCTATGGCTTTCAGAGCCCCTCACCACATTGAAGGTTAATTTCTGGGTGGTACTGAGAGCAGAGCTCAACTGCCCCTACCTTGTTTAGTGTTGGTACCTGTGGGATTAGAACTTGAAATGGACTCAATGTAAATGAAGTCTTAATAAAAAAAGAAAACCTAACAAAAATCTATTATTGTATTAATTCATGCAAAAATAAATTGCAATGATTGAAAATGAACCCCGTGTTGTGGTATGTGTGATACACCCAGGATCTGGATACCCCAGCCTTTCCTAATTCTGTACACGCTGTGCATGTAAGCAGAGAACAACTCTGCTAGAAGTGCACTGGAAAGGCTTTCACTGATGTGCCCTTCCCCTTGCATCCCTATCAATAGGAAGTGTCTCAAGCAAAGGCATGAATTAGTTATTGGTCTCCGTACTGGGTGTGTGGTAGGACAGTGGTGGGGGAAGGGGGGAGGGGGTTTTCCATCACACTTGTTAGTCTTATACATCACAGTGGAAGATGGGACAGAATACTACTTGTACTTTGTTTTCTGGGGTGACAGGAGCCACAAAACTGGCTTTTCGGCTGTAGGAAAAAACTAGTGGGTATGTTCAGCTGCTGGTTTGTTTTGCGCTGTATTTCATAACTTTCCACTTTAACCAAATCTGTGGCACCGCCTGCTCACACACAAATGTTTTTTGCAAAGTGCCCCACCAAGTTTAAAAGAGAATTTCAGGTTTCCTGGCACTTTAATCAAATTTGTTTGGGCCAACTTAGAACAAACTAACTATTGGTATACCAAAACGGATTGGCCACTTCTTAGGCTGTAATATACCATAGTAGCTTGTGCTATGTACAGTCAGCAGGAATACCAGACTTCCACTGCTGGATATACAGAGTGTCACGGATACCACATCTCTACCATTTAGGACAAGCCTTGTATTTATCAATGAATACAAGGCTTCCACTGATTGGCTAAGGTGGACATAATGACATCATCTGCCCACCTCTCCACTTAAGCCAATCCGAGGAAGACTTGCAGCACCCGTTTTTAAAGCGGATATTAAGCCAAAACCTAGTTGTAGATAGAGTATAGAACCACTGTCAGATTTTTATTTCCACAGGTGTCACTAGTGGGGGAGATAATCCTTGCTTCCTTTGTTGGAGGCACAAGTCTCTGGGACAGGCATTGAGGAAAAATCTCACGAATATGGACACAGAATAAACTGACAGAGGTTCTGAACCTACTCTGCTCTGCTTTACAAAAAGTGTTAAGTCTTTATTGGAAAGATTTCTGTATTTGAACAGGAAGTGAAAGAGAAATCTCCATAGAGACAGATTAAAAATTTTTTCATGAACTTTTTGTGTGTTTCTTTGTTTTAGTGATGACGATGTCTTGTACGTGAGCGATGGTGATCCCTGTGCGGGTAAGTCGTACACTGTGTGACGTAATTATCCTATAAATGCACACTAGAAATGGGAAATAAATAAATTCTACATACATACATACATTTTTGTGCAGCTGTATATTTGTAACACATTACATTTTTATTAGTACCAAATAAATGTATCTGGGACTACACATTTTACGAAGGGATTTGTTGAAGTAGGGTATTATAGCTCACTTTTTTGTGTTTGTTACTTAGAATCATACACACAAAATTCCAATTTATTTTCTTTTCTCTTAGATGATCTGGAAATGCCTATCGTCCCTGAGCTTTTAACAGGAAGTCACACAGACTGGCTGACATTGAATGTGGGCGGCAAATATTTTACCACTACAAGGTAAGAGTACTGTTGTATTACTGGTATACATGTCAGTAAAAGACCAAATAAAGAGGATCTTCACTCACAGATATCTATACAAATTCATAATGGAAATGAAAAGGTGTGTTGTCATGTGCGTTACTTGCTTAGCAGGGTCCTCTTTGTCAACTCTCTACTTCAGCTCTTCAGTTTTTATACAGTGACTCCATAGACAAACAGATCGAGACACTGTGTGCCCCCATAGCAAATGGCTTGCTATGGGGAAACACAAGAGGAGGAACCAAGATTGCTGGCTGGGGACCCAACAAAAGGAGGATTGGGGCCACTCTGTGCAGTACCATTGCACAAAGCAGGTGAGTATAAAATGTTTATTTTTCATTTAAAAATAAAAAATTTAGACTTTAGTAACACTTTACCTGATTGTAAGACATTCAGAAAAGATCACTTAAAGCGGAGCTTCACTCTCCCAATCAACACTAAATCCTTATGCTGAAAGCATTATTAAATAGATAGGAAAGTATATTATATTTACATAATTTAAACTTTTTTTTTTTTTCATTTCTTCAGTTACTTTCTGGTTTCCATGCCTAGGCAAATGATATTGTCATACATCCCAGGAGTTTTGCGTAGGGGAGGAGGGGTTTTCTTAATTAAGCACAATTTCCCGTTTGCATGCCTAAGAGAAGATGGATTCCATGAAGTAAATGCTACTGCCCTTATTCAAGATTACTGCACCCAGAAATGCTAGAGGGTGTTTTTCTGAGCAAAATAAAGCATGGAGACATGAATGGATGAGGAAGTTTGATTTGAATAATAAAAATGAATTAAATGAGGACATGGATGGGATGTGATAGAGACAAGCCGCACACTGCCCAAGCTCCATTCCTGTAATACCATCCTACGGATGCTCTTCTCCCTGCAGCCTGACTCCATTCAGTTGCTCTCTCCCCGTGCATCACTGCTGCTGCTTTCCGGTGCCGCTGATGGCACCAGGCTATCGCGCACCACCCACTCGTTCTTGAGCTCCTGCTGCCTGACCTCAGCAGCGGCCATCTTGCCCACGAGCAGTGATGTCTGCAAGCACACAGACTCGTCTGGCCGCCTTAGGGACTAACAATCCCACCAGTGCTGATCCCCTGGCGATCATCACATTCAGTAAGGAGTCCCTGATGATGAAGGTAGACTTCCTCTCTACAAACATAAGTTTGATCCGCCATGAAGTTTAGAAGTTGTGATCTCGTTTGTCTGAGGCCCAGGAACAGATCTGTCAGGCGGAGGACATTATCAGTGTGGATTCCAGGGAGCTCCATGCCCTTCAGAGGCAGGTTAAGGTCATTGACAGCGACATAATGTAACAACTTGTGGATTCTGGGCTTAACAGATGAGGCCGAGGGATTTCGGCCTGTTAATTTGCGGAGCAGTTCCTGACTACACTTCTGGGCCGTGAAAATCTCCCACTTACCTTCATAGTGGAATACATGCACATGAGTGCCTCTCACCGCTCTGGTCCCTGGGGCTCCTCATCGTCCTTTTCTCCTGAAGATGCTCAATTATAGGAATCAAGACATGCTGCTTGCCTGGGCCCTAAAGCCTGATCTGGTCTTCAACAACAAGATTTTGCTGTTTCCAGATTACTCACCTGAATTCCAGCAATGCAGATGCTCATTCACTGACGTTCACAAGCGCCTTCATGACAAGAGCCTCACCTCCAGTCTCCTGTTCTCCAGCAAGCTTCACATTGTTGATGGAGATGGCACCCGCTTCTTTGATGCTGCAGAGGCAGCCTCTGCTTGGCTGGTACCCTCTGATTTTCCTGTTGCACCGTTCTTGGGGTTTCGACGTCCGAGTTGCTTCTGATGATCCTCATCCAGTATATATTCCTGTTCGAGGATGTGGTGGCCTTATGTGATTCTTAAAGCTGATGATGGACAGGTTGGAGTTTTAGTCAGCATCTCTTCTAGAGTTGGTGCCCCCCTCATGGAGCTTCATACCTTATTTTTGCAGCCTGTTGTAAGTGCCAGCCAGTTATAGTATTTTGCCTTCGGGGGTGCTGTCTTACGGACATACCTAGAATAGACCACGGTGCTCCCTGTATTTCCTCCCTGGCCTCCCCCACCAGACACTGAACCTTCAATGCAACTAGTTTTGTTTTTTGGTTTAGGGTCTAACCCCTGCTTGCCTGACTGTTTTGAGTCATGCCGAACATGGGCAGAGTATGCACAATCGCGCTTGGGTTATACTACCTGTATAGTCTAGAAGCATGTGTGAGTGGGCTCCAGCCTTGTATGTTGCTCCTTTGGTTTCTCCCCCCTCCCCTTTTCTGTGCGATACTGTCCAGATTTACCCATTGCAGAGGTGTTGCAACAGCAACTCAATTGAAAAACAAACTGAAATCTTTTAGGGGGAAGTAAACCTAAAAGAACTAAAATAGTGTGGTTGCATAAGTCTGCACACCCTCTTATAACTGGGGATGTAGCTGTGTTCAGAATTAAGCAATCACATTCAAAATCATGTTAAATAGGAGTCAGTACACACCTACCATCATTTAAAGTGCCTCTGCTTAACCCCAAATAAAGTTCAGCTATTCTAGTAAGTCTTTCCGGACATTTTCTTAGTCGCATCCTTCAGCAAAAGCCATGGTCCGCAGAGAGCTTCCAAAGCATCAGTGGGATCTCACTGTTTGAAGGTATCCATGAGGAGAAGGGTACTAAAGAATTTCCAAGGCATTAGATATACCATGGAACACGGTGAAGACAGCCATCATCAAGTGGAGAAAATATGGTTCAACAGTGACATTACCAAGAACTGGACCTCCCTCTAAAATTGATGAAAAGACAAGAAGAAAACTGGTCTGGGAGGCTGCCAAGAGGCCTGCAGCAACATTAAAGGAGCTGCACGAATATCTGGCAAGTACTGGCTGTGTGGTACATGTGACAACAATCTACTGTATTCTTCATAAGTCTGGGCTATGGGGTAGAGTGGCAAGATGGAAGCCTTTTCTTGTGAAGAAAAACATCCAAGCCTGGCTAAATTTTGCAAAAACACATCTGAAGTCTCCCAAAAGCATGTGGGAAAATGTGTTCTGGTCTGATGAAACCAAGGTTGAACTTTTTGGCCATAATTCCGAAAGATATGTTTGGCGCAAAAACAACATTGCACATCACCAAAAGAACACCATACCCACAGTGAAGCATGGTGGTGGCAGCATCATGCTTTGGGCTGTTTTTCTTTAGCTGGAACTGGGAGCTTAGACAAGGTGAAGGGAGTTATGAACAATTCCAAATACCAGTCAATATTGGCACAACCTTCAGGTTTCTGCTAGAAAGCTGAACATGAAGAGGAACTGCATCTTTCAGCATGACAACGACCCAAAGCATACATCCAAATCAACAAAGGAATGGCTTCACCAGAAGAAGATTAAAGTTTTGGAATGGTCCAGCCAGAGCCCAGACCTGAATCTGATGGAAAATCTGTGGGGTGATCTGAAGAGGGCTGTGCACAGGAGATGCCCTCGCATATGACAGATTTGGAGTGTTTTTGCAAGGAAGAGTGGGCAAATATTGCCAAGTCCAGATGTGCCATGCTGATAGACTCATACCCAAAAAGACTTTGTGCTGGAATCAAATCAAAAGGGGCTTCAACAAGAGGGGGAGGAGCCTGACCATGGCGGCAGGGGAGAGAGCGATGTGAGCGCTCTCTCCGTGGGACAGCCACCCTCACCCCATCGTTCCTAAGAAACATGCTGCCGAGGAGCCCAGCTAAACCCTACCTTTGAGAGGGGGTCCCGCCTGAAGAGCGGAGAGGACGGAGCTTTCGGGGACCGCGGCAGTGGGACGGACTAAGCCTCTCGTCGGATGCAGCGGGCTGCTGGGAGACTAGGGGACGCGAGGCGGTCACGTGACCTCCCGCAAGGGAGTACTGGGAGGAAGAGAAGCCGGCTGTCTCTCCTAGTCAAAGGGAGACGCCAGCTCTCTCACTGACAGGCCACAAGGACCCAGCTTTGGGAGAGCAGCAACGCTGTAAGTCGGACGGCGTTCTAAAGAACCGGGGAAACACCGTCCCAACGAACGGGAGTCCTGTTTTGCTGGCCACCTGTGGAGGAGGGGCGCAAAGGATAAAGAGAGGAACCCGGAGGAATCCCCCAAAAGAGGAAATAAAGCCTGAAGGGACCCCTGAATAGAGGACAACGAGCCTGAAAGGCAGCCTTCCTGAAAAAGCAGTCGGAGAAGGGTGAGTGAGAGTGGCTGAAATACACATTAAATTTGTATATGGACTGTAAAATACGGAAGCAGGAGAGGAATAAATAGGGGGGATTCCCAAAGGGGCAGAAGAAATGGACCTTCTTTAAAAGGACGTATTACAGCATATGCCCTAAAGGTTTAAAGGAGAGAGACAGGACCTACAGAAAATATGAAGAGTAAAAATAGTAAAGGGAGCGGTCCCAAGCACTCCCAATCTGGAACGATTAGAAAATATACATCCCAGGGTAATGTGACCCCAGAAAGATCCCAGGGGATATGTGAAAGAAGTATAATGGAAAATAGTATGGATAAGAGCGTCAGGTCATCTGTGGAAATGCATAATAATAGCCAATTAATACTAGAGGGAACAGAGCTGAGAGAAAATGAAGGAGAACTACAAATCCCAAATAAAAAGGAGATGGCAGAAATGTTTAGAAATTTGGAAAAATCTATTAAACAAGAGATGGGAATCATCCGGAATGATTTAGGACATTTATTATCAAGAGTAGAAGAAACAGAAGAAAAAATTAAAAAACATGATCAAGCTATCCCTGAATTGAGAAATCAGTTAATGGAGATAAGGAAAGCACAAAATAAGCTGTGGCATAAGCTGGAGATACAAGGTAACATGCATAGAAAAAATAACCTCAGAATAAAAGGAGTCCCGGAACCTGCACAAGGAGAAGATTTAAAAGGGACAATACATAAAATTTTAAACTCCATTATGGATAAATCTAGTACAGAGACATGTGAACTGGATAATGTATACAGAATAGGAAGGCTCCAACGAGAGCAGGTGGAAGAGAGACCGAGAGATGTAGTTGTACAATTCCATAAAAATGGAGAGAGAGAAGAAATATGGAAGAAGATAAAAGGAAGAACCAGTATTAAATATGAAGGGAAAAATATACAAGTTTTTGCAGACCTGACAGCTGAGACATTGAGGAGAAAGAGATCATTGAAACCACTATTAGAACAGATGAAAAAACAGAATATACAATATAGATGGAGTAGCTCGATGTGTTTAATCGGATGGAAGAATGGAGTTACCGCATACTTAAGATTTCCTGAGGAACTAAGAGACTTTTTTGACAAACTTAACATCCAGAGAATAGAGATTCTAGGTTGGGGGGAGGAAGGAGGGATATATGCTGGGGGGAAAAGAGGAATGGCAGCAAGTTAAAAAGAGAAATAGAGAATTGATAGATAAGGGAACTTTGGGGGGAAGGTGAACCGTACAGGGTCAGAGTTTAACCCCAGGGTCAAAAATCAAACGTGGCACTAGGTCCACAAATGATTAGAAGGCAATTAGCAGGCCTAATGGGGGGGTGGGAGGGAGAGGTGGGGGAGAGGATGGAGGGGGGTGGGGGTGGAGGAGGGGAGGGGGGATGGGAGTCGGGTTGGAGGGAGGGGAGGGGCTACTGGGTTAATACTCTGCATGATAGTAGGGATAAAGAGGAAGAGGCATTTTGGAAGAGAGAGCGAACTAAGAAGGATGGAAGAAATACAGTTTATAACCTATAATGTGAATGGGTTGAGTTGTCCTGGGAAAAGATTTAAGTTGTTTAAGGAGCTACATCATAGGGCAACGTCAGTGGTATTTTTACAGGAGACTCATTTTGAGATAGAGGCAAATGTGAAATTGAAATATTACCCAACATGGTATTACGCTGACTCTCCAATTAAAAGAGCAAAAGGGGTTGCAATAGGATTGGCAAAGAATATGAGATTTGAGTTGGAGGATAGAAGGACCGATCCTGAGGGGAGATTTTTATTTTTGAAAGGTAAACTTCAGGGGATTGAGTGTACATTAGCCAATATATACTGCCCCAATAAGAAACCGGAGATGTATATGAAGGGTCTGTTGAAAAAATTGATAGAATTTAAAAAAGGGCGTTTGATAGTAGCAGGAGATTTAAATTTCTGCATGGAACCACAAAAGGACGCTACCTCTTCTGTGCAAAGAGAGGGGGGTAGGTTTCTGAGAGCTTTGAAAAAAGTGATTCACGAGTATCAACTAGTGGACACCTGGAGAATAATGCATATGAAAGACAGAGACTATACCTTCTTCTCTAATGCACACGAGACATACTCGAGACTAGATTACATTTTAATAGACCATCAACTCATTGAACTTTTGGTTAAAATAGAAATAGAGACAAGAACGTTCTCTGATCATGCTCCTGTCGTAATGAAAATGCAATGGGGAAGAAGGTGGACTGGAGGTTTAGGGTGGAGGTTAAATGAGGCTCTTCTTCTGGATGAGGATATAGCTCAGAGGATCGGGAAAGAGATTGAGGTATATTTTAAGGAGAATGAAACGGAGGAAGTATCGATAGCTACAGTTTGGGAGAGTCATAAGGTATTTATAAGAAGAATTTTGATTGCGGCAGGAGCAAGGAAGAAAAAAGAAAGAAGAGAGAGGGTCAGTGGGCTTCTAAAAGAAATACTGGACCTGGAGCAGATCCACAAGAAGAAAATAACAAAAGATACAAGACAGAAGTTAATGGATAAAGTTGAGCTAGAGATGTTGATGGATGAGAAGAGAAGAGTATATAACAAAGTCTTAAGTGAGAGATATAGATGGGGAGATAGACCAGGAAAATACTTAATGAGAGCTTTGAATAAAAAGAAAAATAGGAACTATATAGAAAAGATAAAAAGTCCTAAGGGGGAGTTGGCCCACTCAACTAAAGAGATTATTAAAGTGTTCACGGAGTATTCTAGAAAGTTATATAATATTAGTCCCCAAGGCTCTCCAAAAGAAGCTCGAGAGGGAATTAATGAAAAAAGGATGATATATTTAAAAAATGCGGGACTACCAAAACTAAGTGAAGCACAGTTGAACTCCTTGGACATGGAAATTTCCCAGGAAGAAATTAAAGCAGCATTAAGAAGTACAGGGGGAGGAAAAAGCCCAGGACCGGATGGCTACACAGTTGGGTATTATAAAAAATACAGTGAATTACTGTTACCCAAGCTGAAGAAGTATATGAATGCTCTGGGAGGTGGGATGGAGGTGAGGAGGGAATCTTTACAGGCCCATGTAGTACTTATTCACAAGGAGGGAAAAGATCCCTCTCAGTGCTCCAGCTATAGACCAATTTCATTATTGAACACTGATACCAAACTGTACGCAAAGGTTCTAGCAAACAGGTTGAAAGATCTAATGTCTGATTGGATACATGGTGATCAGGTTGGCTTTGTACCAGGGAGAGAGGGTAGAGATAACGGTTTGAGAACCCTGATGCTTATTCAGAAAAGTAGAAAAGGGAAAGCCCCGGTGGTGCTCTTGTCAATTGATGCATTGGGATGTCTAATGGAACAAGACAGGGCTGCCCACCTTCCCCTTTACTATATGTTTTGTCACTGGAACCTCTGTTGTCAATAATAAGGAATAGTGGAGCGGTAAAGGGAATTCAGATAGAAACTATAGAACATAAAGTAGCGGCCTTTGCGGACGACTTATTGTTCTAAAAAAAAAAAAAGGGGCTTCAACAAAGGATTAGTTTTAAGGGTGTGCACACTTATACAACCATATTGTTTAATTTTTTTTATGTTTACTTCCTCCCCCCTAAAAGAATTCAGTTTGTTTTTCAATTGAGTTGTGCAGTTTATAGGTCACATTAAAGGTGGAAAAAGTCCTGAAATTATTTATCTTTGTCTCATCAGAAACCTGACATTTTAACGGGTGTATAGACTTTATATATCCACTGTGAAATCCAAATGCTTTCACCTTTTGGTTGACCAAGGCAAATTGCTTCCATTTCCTGTTATCCGCATGAAATACACATTTATCCTGATACTGGCAATTATCTCATGATTTTGGTAGCCAATTTTCTAACTTGTCTGTTATCTTAACTGTGTCAGACCTTGAGGAAGTTCTGGGATCAGAGTGTTCTGTCAAACCCATGCCTGTCCTGTATAATAATTTGTGTATGGTCACTCTTACGGACATAGCCTCTCTTTGGAGTAGAAGGCTAGCTGACATACCAGACTTCGATGGTGATGACTGGTCAGATATCTGGGACTTTCCCTTTAAACAACTTGTCTCCCTTAGGGACTGACTTATTCAATTCAAAATGGTACACAGGGCTTAATTCACCCCATACAGAGTTCACAAAATGGATCCGAACTCTCCTCCGAATTTCAGGAGATGTCCCCATACACCGGGGAACATCACTCACATTTTCTGGACCTGCCCTGCAATTGTCCAATACTTAGAGTCTGTAGTTCACATTATTAACTCTGTCTCTGGAATTATATCCCCCCCCCCCCTGCACATTTGCCTGTTGGGCTTAGTTGCAGATCTTGCCCCTATAATATCTGAGCAGACCCTACTGGGGTTTCTCCTATTTTATGCCAGAAAGGCCATTACCAATACCTGGAAAAAGCCCAATCCCCCAACAGTAATGTTCTGGCAACAGCTGGTCAACACAGGCCTACCGCTGTACAAACCTATTGTCATTAGAGGCTGCCCTAAAAAAGTTCACCAAAGTATGGTCCAAGTGGCTTCAGGATGACTCCACAGCTCAACTGTAAGATGTGTTTTCTTGCTTAATTGTTCTATGATTCATGTTGTTTGGGACGTAGGGGAAGGGTCTCTTGAGGCCTGATTGGACTCTGCCCGTGGGGCAATATTTAATTACGGCTTTCTTATGATAGTAGTGTGAGCCACACACACAAACAAGGGTAACAATGTTGTGTTTTTTTGAGTTTTTGCATTTTTCCTTTTTGTTTTTTGGAATGTCAATTGGTACGGTAGATACCTGTGATCTGCACATGTGTTGTCTCCTTGTGGGCACTTCTTTGTACCTTTTTTATTATTAACTTAATAAACCAATTTAAAAAAATTAATAAAATAGCGTTTTTGTTTTGTGGTGGTCAGATGCAGTGTGCCGCTTTAATATCTTTCACTGCTGTGCCATTTTGTGCAACCACTCTTATACTCATAGGCTCTTTGTTGAACTATACTATTACTTGAAAATCTAATCCGCATCTACAGATGTATCTAGTAATGTTTAATAATCTCAAATCATCACCCAGTCCTGATGACTTTGACAGAGCTGTGTGATGGTCATGTAATGTTTCATGGTGGACTCTGAGTTGGACAGTATCAATGCAATTTAAATCGGACCTGTTAACAAATTTTACTTTTTGATACAACAATGCACATGAAAGTTTTTTATTAATAACTAATTAATTACTAATAACACAGCTTTCTCCAGGGCTTCCTTCTTCTGACCACTGAATCTATATTAACGTTCTGCATAACTAATGTATAAATACTCATATAATAAAGGAATGTAAAGAGGAAGATAAAGCTGGAGAAGGGCACACAAAGAATCTCCCTGTGGCATTCGATAGACCAAAGGATAAAGCTGGGTAAAGAAAGCTAACTGTTGCATCAACTCAAGCAAGGGAAGCAAAATCTGAAAACTTACATTCTGTGTTATACAATGTTTAAGAATTCAATATTTATATATTCACTAGACAATGATTAGGAAGTCTGCTTCAAAACTGAGACATTTGCACTGGTTTTCTACACAAATTAATTTTTTAATCTTTTTTTTTTTTTTTTTTTTTTTTTTTTTTTTTTATCCTAATCTCTGCAGGTCTACCCTCGTCAGTAAGGAGCCTGACAGCATGCTGTCGCACATGTTCAGTGACAGAGGTTTGTAGTGCTTTGTGGAATGTTGGTATACAAAACAAGCTTGTGTAAAGTTATTTTACTTCACTTTCATTATTTTACTTTGGGGCAGTCTTGGAAGCCCCTTCTACTATTTAGCACAGGCTTTTTTTAATTCCCTGGGACTGAGATGTGTCCTACTGCTGCACATTTCCTGACCTTTTAATCTGAACTGTCAGTTTCCTGGCTGTCAAAGCCATAATTTTTAACTATGTTGTTATGACAGTGGAAATATATCTGTTTTCTCCCTCTAAGGATGAGGGTCTCTAAACTTTCTAAACAGAAGGCTTAGGGGGTTAGGATGTGGCCAGCGGGAGTAGAAAATGTACTGGCATCATTGTGAGTAAACAATGCTTCATCAATGGTTGTAGAGGGAGGAATGGTGCCCCATTGTTGGTACCAAAAGGAAACCAAAACATCGCGGCACTCTATGGCCCAGAGCAAGGGTGGATAGATGGACACGGAAAATGAAGAAATTCACCACCAGTGCATCAAAGGTTGTGCTGCTCTAAACAAGGCTCGGGAAGCCCGACCAGTACTGTAAAGTGAAACAAAAAGCACACCAACCTTGCGCATTGCCTCAGTGAAATGTGATTTTATTGAATTTAAAATATACTCACAAACCGAGAAGTGTAACAAGCGTCTAAAATATTAGCAAGGAAATGTTACCTTAACTTAGTAAATGTGGTACAAAAAAAAAATGTTCACAGCCTTGCTTGTGTTTATTATTCAATTTATAATCTTTGCTTCCTAGATGCTTGGGGAAATAAGAGAGATCACAGAGGAGCTTTCCTGATTGACCGCAGCCCAGAATACTTTGAACCAATCCTGAACTATCTTCGTCATAGTCAGCTCATCGTCAATGATGGGGTCAATTTGTTGGGTGAGCTCTGTGAAGTAGGCTTGTATAATAATTTGCATCTCGCAGAAGAACTTAACCTGGTTTCTTACAGGGGTCTTAGAAGAAGCCAAGTTTTTTGGCATCGATTCCCTGATTGAGCACCTGGAGCTGGCAATTAAGGTAATGGATATGCTTATTTTGGGATTGTGATGTAGTTTTATGCATGTTAAATGTTGGCAGGTTTGACTAAACATCATTTTAAAGCATATCTAAACCCAAGAATAAAAAGAAAATGTATATTGCAGCTAACCAGTCCTTAAATGCTGTGGCATCAATATTTTTCCCCTTTTATTTTTACTTGGTGATCCTGTCAGTAACTTGGGGTGTACACTTGGTTCACAAAACATCTCACACATATGGACAGCATTAGAGGGGAGGAAGGAATGTTTATTTATATTTGAAGTATGCTTCCATTACTCCTAGTGACTTCACGTGACTGCTTTGTACTGTAGAATTCACAGCCTGCTGAGGACCACTCCCCAATATCTCGCAAGGAGTTCATACGTTTCCTTCTCGCCACCCCAACCAAATCAGAACTTCGCTGTCAGGTGAGTTGAAGGGATTAAAGAATCTCTAGACTTGCTGATCCATTTAGGGCACAGGTATCAAACTGCAGCCCTCCAGCTGTGCAGAAACTACAAGTCTCATCATGCCTCTACCTTTGGGAGTCATGCTTTTAACTGTCAGCTCTGCAATGCCGCAAGTAATTGAGGGCTGCAGTTTGACACCCCTGATTTAGGGGATATTTCTTAACCATACTATACCTTGTTCATTTAAGTTGCTTAAGGGTTTTTTTTTTTTTAAGCCATCCTTAATAAACCACTAAAAGTTCATTTTCACCAGAATCAAATGCAGGTCATTACATTTTAGAACATGCATTGTGAAAGCCACACAGTTAATGTGAGCACAGATTTTGATCCTATAACTCACAAAAAGTTGCTTCTGTTGAATGGATGCAAACGTTTAGGCAGCCTCAGTAATGCACTGCAACACTGTAGTTGAAACAGGTACCAATGTCAAGAGTGCACTCTCAGCTGTGTGAGGGATAACAACAGACATCCAGTTAGGGAACCTCACCTTTCCACCTTTCCACATAAACCATCCAAATTATGCAGTGGGCTGAGTAGCCTGAGCTTTAGACTTTATTTGAAAAAATATCGGCTAAATAACCATTTCCAACTATAGCACCACCATGGGAAACTTGGGGAGTAACATTATACATTGTCTAACCGTGACTGACTGATATTTGTGTGATCAGCTGGAATACTGGGACACTACTGTGCACTTTTTGTTTTCACATCCAAGACCTAAAAACTGGTATCTGAAACAAAAATAGTCCAGTTTAGGACTAAACTGGGTTCTCTGTTTTGGTCACTAGTAAGTGTAGGTCTGTTCTGTACTGACAACTTTTTAAGTGGTAGTTAAGTTATAGTATACCTCCCATAACTTTGTTGATTTTGTCTACCAGCACCAAACTAACACAAGCAGTATTCATAAAGGTGAAGACTGCAGTAACAAAACAAAGTGATGAAGAACATTGCATGTATATTTGTCTTTTAATTTTTTTTTCTGAATCTCTCTTTTGTCTGACCTCTTTACAGGGTCTAAATTTTAGTGGAGCTGATCTCTCTCGTTTGGACCTGCGGTATATAAACTTCAAGATGGCAAATTTAAGTGGCTGCAACCTAACTCAGGCCAACCTATGTGGGGCTTGCCTGGAGCGAGCAGACCTGTCGGGATCTGTACTGGATGTAAGGATGGGTCTGAATAACTGTAGAAGCGTGGGGAAAAAAGATTGTGTAATATTCTGTTCATTTTTAAATTTTATTTTATATTCAGTTTGGTTACAATCTATAGTTCATTCTTTCATACTGCCACACATCTATTTTTTTTACATTTCAACACAGTATATCATAATTAGATTTTAACATGTATCGTCACCACAAGGTCAAGTCTTTTATCCATAATACCCATTCAGGCATTGGTAGTCTTGAAACACAACTGAAAATTCTCAGTAAACCTATCTTAGCGTCAGACAGCACTACAATGCCTTGCAAACTATAAATCAGTCTAGCAATCATCCTAAACAACCCCTTGTGCAAGGTTAAAGTGTTATTAAAGCTTCATTATGAATCATCTAGAAGCAGATCCCATCTACTTTCTTCCCTGCTGTTCTGTTTATCTGTGCAAGGTAGTCATTTCTGCAACCTAGTCCATGAAGTGTTTTCTGTCCCACATTATTGTTGCCTTGAAGGGGAAAGCAACACTGAGAGGTAGCAATATTGGAAAGTGCATAGATAACAACTGTCTTGGACATGCCAGTACAGTCTCACATCTAGGTGCTCTGGTCCTGAAGATATTGAGTCACTGTGCATGTGTTGTAATTTCAAAAAGGATATTAACTGAGGGGGTTATGGCTGGAAGGGGGAGGTTGAAACATAATTGGGGTGGTGGGCCTGTTGGCAAGTATGAGAGTGGAGTGTTGGAAAAGTGAGTATTTGGGGACAAAGTGAATAAATTCTGTTTAAAAAGAGAAAAAAAATATGTTAGAGTAGTATTAAGACCATGACATGTACAGATATGTGTCCCAAACAGTGGGCAAATGGGTGGAGACTGTTTTGGGCTGTAGACCCTGTCCACTTATCTGAAACTTGAGACCATTATGGATCCCTTTAATTCATAGCTACTCTGTACAACCAGCTGAATATAGTGCCAAGGTGACACTAGTCATTTCTAAGAGCCGCAAACCAAATTGTGTCCTGTAGTTAATGCATTCAAAAATGCTCTAATTGTGCTGTTCTTTTTTCAAGGGAGCCAATTTGCAGGGTGTGAAGATGCTCTGTTCCAATGCAGAAGGAGCCTCCCTGAAAGGATGTAACTTTGAGGACCCATCTGGCCTGAAAGCCAATTTGGAAGGTTAGAGGGAAAACATTAATACTATTGGCCGTATAATAGAGAAAGCAACTATTTTAGTGTTTGCTTCTGTTTAAAACTATTTTATGTAGGTCAGAAATATATAACCACCTTCCTGGTTTTTTTTTTTCCATCCATTAGGAGCTAATCTGAAGGGTGTTGACATGGAGGGCAGTCAGATGACTGGGATAAACTTAAGGGTTGCAACCCTGAAAAATGCCAAATTAAAGAATTGCAATCTACGTGGTGCTACGTTGGCAGGAACAGACTTGGAGGTGAGAAAGCAAAGTTCATACAAGTACACTTCATGGCCAAACGTTTGTTGGACATTCCATTCAAACACCATGGGCATTAAAGCATTGTCAGCATGTCAGCATTCGTTTACTTTTTTCAGGATTTTTTACATTTATTTTAACCTGATGATCATGCCAGTTACACACTTTCTGTAGCATTATGACAATGCTCACTTTTCTGTATCAGGACAACAGAAACCTGTCCCTCTCCTATTCTCCATAACATAAATCGGTAGGGCTACATTATGCAGGCCATAGATGGGTCGAAAATCGGCCGATTTTTCTTTTAAAAAAACAAAAAAAATCGGTTGTTCAAGTGGCCGACGTTACCACCAATGGTAAAAAAAATCGGCCGATTTTCATCCCGTCTACAGCCGGCAAAAAGTGTCCCTGCAGAGAGCTCTGCTATTTCTTTGACAGTTCCTTGACATTTACAGAGGTTGCAACAATGTATCTATTTGTATCCATTTAGGATACAGATGTTTTTATTCGGAAACAAATAGATACAATGTTGCAACCGCTATAAATGTCAAGGAACTGTCAAAGAAATAGCGGAGCTCTCTGCAGAGACACTTTTTGCCGGACTGGAATTCCTCTTATTTTCATCCTTCTTTTCCTTCTTCTTCATCATCATCATCTCTCTCTTCTTCTTCTTCTTCTTCTTAATCATCATCCTCTTCTTCTTCTTCTTCTTTCTTCTTCATCATCATCATCTTCTTCTTTTCTACTTCTTCATCATCATCATCCTCTTCTACTTCTTCATCATCATCATTCTCTCTTCTTTTTCTTCATCATCATCCTCTTCTTCTTCTACTTCTTCTTCTTCATCATCCTCATCCTCTTCTTCTCTTCTTCTACTTCTTCATCATCCTTGTCGTCGTCGTCGTCTTCCGTCTTCTTCGTCTCTTCTCTCTTTCTTCGTCGTCTCTTCTTCTTCTTCGTCTTCTTCTTCTTCGTCTTCTTCTTCTCTTCTTCGTCTTCTTCTCTTCTTCTTCGTCTTCTCTCTTCTTCTCTTTCATTTCTTCTTCTTCTCTTCATCTTCTTCTTCTTCTTCTCTTCTTCATCTTCTTCTTCTTCTTCTTCATCTTCTTCTTCTTCTTCTTCTTCTTCTTCTTCTTCTTCTCTTCTTCGTCTTCTTCTTCTTCTTCTTCTTCTTCTTCGTCTTCATCTTCTTCTTCGTCTTCATCTTCTTCTTTCGTCTTCATCTTCTTCTTCGTCTTCTTCTTCTTCGTCTTCATCTTCGTCTTCATCTTCTTCTTCGTCTTCATCTTCTTCTTCATCTTCTTCTCTTCTCTTCTTCGTCTTCGTCTTCATCTTCGTCTTCGTCTTCTTCTTCGTCTTCTCTTCGTCTCATCTCTTCTTCTTCGTCTTCTCCTTCTCCTTCTTCGTTCGTCTTCGTCTTCTTCTCTTCTTCGTCTTCATCTTCTTTCGTCTTCATCTCTTTCTTCGTCTTCTTCGTCTTCTTCGTCTTCATCTTCTTCTTCGTCTTCATCTTCTTCTTCGTCTTCATCTTCTTCTTCGTCTTCATCTTCTTCTTCGTCTTCTTCTTCGTCTTCATCTTCATCTTCTTCTTCGTCTTCATCTTCTTCTTCGTCTTCATCTTCTTCTTCGTCTTCATCGTCTTCATCTTCTTCTTCGTCTTCATCTTCTTCTTCTTCGTCTTTCTTCTTCTTTCTTCTTCTTCGTCTTCTTCGTCTTCATCTTCTTCTTCGTCTTCTTCGTCTTCTTCGTCTTCATCTTCTTCTTCGTCTTCGTCTTCTTCTTCTTCTTCTTCGTCTTCGTCTTCTTCTTTTTGTCTTCATCTTCGTCTTCATCTTCTTCTTCGTCTTCATCTTCTTCTTCATCCTCTCCCTCCCCCTCCTCCTCCCCCTCCCCCCTCATGCGCAGATTTTTTTATCGGTTAAAAAATCGGCCGATTAGACCATTATTGCCGCGAAAATCGGCCAATTTTTTTTTTTTTCCCTACTTTCCCGATTAAAAAAAACGGCCAAAATACCGAAAAAAAACGGCCAAACAAATAGCCCACTAATGATCCGAAAATCGGCCGATTTTATTTTCGGCCGAAAAATCGGCCAATTTTCGACCCATCTATGGCCTGCATTAGTCTGCATGTTCTCAGGGGCTTGTACAGCTGTTTTCTGATACACCCCTGCTCAGGTATCAGTGCACTTAAAGGAGTTGTGTCTACAGGATCTTGTGTTTCGACTGCACTGAAGCAGCATAGAGGCTGCATCTTGGACTATCTCCAATCAGGCATGAGTTGCTCAGGTTTGCAAGGCCGCTACATGGTCTTTGATTCATACGTTTACAAGGTTTTACCAGGTCGATATCAGAGCCACAGAGGATTCTGCCTTTGGCCACGGCGTATTGCGAACAGTCAATAGCTTTGGGATTGCTGGAGGTGGATATTGTGGGAACAGCCACCCCTCAGAGTTTTTTTTGCTTTGGGATGTCCCACATAAGCATGAATAGCCTGCTCTGTGTCCTGTGATGTATGATAAAGAAAATTGGAATTTCTTTCTACATACTTACCTGTAAAATCTATTTCTTGGAGTACATTATGGGACACTGAGGGATCTCATTGCTTGATACAAAAACTGAAGTACGTCCTGTGTAGGAGGGGTTATATAGGGGAGGACTTCCTTTCTTATTGGTCGGCCAATGTCCACCTATAGGTGGTATATAACCCACATAGTCCTGAATAGCCTGCACTGAGTTCAAGAAATGGATTTTACAGGTAAGTATTTCGAGAAAATCCAATTTTTACAGACAAAAAGGCAGAACATAGGAGAAAGTAATTGTTGGTTTGTACGTGCAGTTTATTAAAGGGTTAAATCGGTTCTAAAGGCATTCTATGCATGAAGGTAAAAAAAATCTGTGTGGTGGTCTTCCCCCACAGCCCCCCTAATACTTACCTGAGCCCCCTCTTGATCCAGCACTGCACAGGAGCCTCAGCTCTCCCAGGTTTCTCTCGCTCTCATTGGCTGAGACAGCAGTGGGATTACAGCCAGTGAATAGAGAGTGAGGCTGAGCCGTGGCTCTGTGTATCTTTTGGAAGCATAGACCGGGGCTCAGTAGTGCGTACACACTAGTGCCTCCATAGCATGCGGCTTTCTATTGGGGGTACTGGTCAGGGGGGAGGATCCAGGAGCGCTGACAGGGAAAAAACTATTGCACAAAGCAGGTAAGTATGGCATGTTTGTTATGTATGTATGTATGTTTTTTTTTTTTTTGTTTTGTTTTTTTTTAAACCTTTTGATAACACTTTTAAATTCAGGGTTCTGTACAGGCCACTTGAGTTTCTCTACACTAGACTATTCAAACCATGTCTTTATGTAGCTGGCTGATTAGGATATGGTGGAGAAGAGTACAAGGGGTGAGGGGGGGGGGGGATCAGGGTAGGGTGGATATCAATGAATCTACCTGACGGGATCACAGACAGCAGTGAAGACCTGACAGGTGTTCTAATCCCTCTCTAATCCTAATCCCTCTCCACACTCTATCTGAAATATTAAAAAAAGCTTTGCCCTTAGTTTATACTTCCAAACATATCTAAACCCAAAATAAATGTATTGTTTTACATCTTACAGCTGCTTAGATGTGGTGGCTGCATTTTTTTTTCCTCTTTTCACCTGGTGATTCTGCCAGTAACACACTTCCAGCACTGGGATGACAACACTTTCTTAACCTATTGTGCGAGGACAACAAAAACAGGACAGGACTGTTGAGAAACTCCCCTGTCCGTAACATAGATCCTCAGAACAAATGCAAACTGATACCTTCCTGTAATTTCTGCCTGTAATGCAGTTATCAGCTGGCAAGATGTCTAGCAAGATTAACAGGTATTTTGTATTGTTTAGTCCTGAGCAAATTAAAAAAATATACAAACACACTTCACATACTTGAACTGAAAAATGTTTTTATGTCTGCATCTGTAGGGCTGCTCTGTAGGGTAAATTGAGCAGATTTTCTGGTTTCAGCACCACTTCAAGTGTGTTTTGAGTAGTGTTGGCAATGTATAATATTCTCGTACTTGCTTCCTGAAGCTGTAACTTTTCATTTCTCCATCTCCTATTTCTTTCCCAACAGAACTGTGATCTGTCCGGTTGTGATCTCCAGGAAGCGAACCTTCGAGGATCCAATGTAAAAGGTGCAATATTTGAAGAGATGCTTACACCACTACACATGTCACAGAGCGTCAGATAGACTCTCATATGAAGGAAGAAGACTCTGCGCCTCTGATTGCTGGCGTACTGGAGACGCTCTGCCTATTGCCTGTACTGCCAAGGCAGACCTATAATCTCTATACCGTAACCGCCTACTTTAATCTCTTGGTAATGTGCACAGAGGACATGTCCACTGTGTTTCATACATGTAGCTCTTATTATATACACACAAACCTGCTTTATTTATGGCATAAGAGAACTGGAGGAGTTTGCACGCCTCTCCTGTAGAATGTTAAGATCGTTGTAGTTGTACCAGACTGGCAGGATGGTGTAGTATGGTATCTTATTGGACTGCCAATAAGGCCTGATAAATATCACTGACATATAAGACAAGGGCTTGAAGATAATGACTGTAGTTTTACTCCTTGCATATACTTTACTTGACAGCTGCTGGTGGAGTTTAGAGTCGTTTTCTATTGGCTGTTACGTGGTCACTAGACTGCTGCATTGTGACCATTCCAAGGTTTGCCTACAGAGGCCATGCAAACGTTTTAATCTATGCACATGTGATTCAAATTGTGTAGCACAAGTTATTATGGACGTGTATTAGAAAGTGTTGGATAACAAACTGGCAGTTGTGGTCTTAGACCAGTTTTGGGAAGCTTTTGTCCTCCTGACGTACTACAAGTCCCAGCAGGCACATTAAGACCTTGTAATTAATCAGCTGCCTGCAGAGGGTCATATGTTGTCCATAATGTTCTAGACTGAGTGGGACTAGACTGGCTACTCAAACCCATGTAGCCAAAATGGATGATAGATTAGACCTGTCATATTTGTATAATCCCTTGTCCTGTGGTCCAGTCACTTATCACAGAGCTTTCTGGGCCCGCTGCAGGTCAGGGGTTACCGAGTGCCTTAAAGCAACTGTCACAGCTGCTTCTGGAGTTATTTAGTTATGCAAATGACAGTATGAAGTGCTGAACTGTTACCCCCTTTCCCTCAATCTATATATACAATAAATATTTTTTGATTGATTTTGTGTAGTCTCTTCTTCTTTACTGTGATGTTTTAGTCACAACTCTTCATATTTCAGGTATTGAAAGATTTGGAACCTTCCTCACTCAGTAAGGGAAATTCCACATTATTGCATATTGTTTTCAAACAGATTGTAATATATAGTTTGTTTTAAAGTATACATGTCATGAGAGAAATGTGATTGCTACATTGCAGACTTCCTACTGCATATGCTGGTTGTCTGTCTGTCATGCTAAACCTTTGGCTTCAGGACTCACCAGTTTTGAAAAAAAATCTATATTTTGCTTATGGGCTAGTAAATTAGAAGGTATTCAAGGCAGTGGGTCAGCATAAAAGACAGGGTAGCTAGAAATTTTAAAGTGTTTGACTATGGCAGAGCAGGACAATGCATGATTTTTGATAGCAAAAATTCTTGTTGATCGTCAAATTGTTAGTTTTTCATATCATTAGTGTGCCAGCTGGGACACATTATTTTCGTGCCGCAATCAAAATTGCCTGATCCAATATGCTGGATTTTGTTTTTTGAAAAACAAAACCATTGATGGTATAATTGTATGAGGTGCTTTCATTTTTGATCAACAAAACGTTCAGTTTTTGATTCTATGGACAGCTTAAATTGGTTCCAAAGGCTCAAGGTTTTTTACTTTCATGCAACTCTGAGTGTTGCACCCCCCCGCTCCCCCAACACTTATATGAGCCTCATCTTGATCCAGCAATGTTCATGAAAGCCTCGGTTCTCTGGGGACTTGCTCCTTATTGGCCGTTGGCTCCCGCTACTGTCAATCACAGCCAGTGAGCCAATCAGAAGAGGGAGGAGCGAAGGCCGAGCCATTGCTCTGTGTGTGAGAATGGGCACGCAGAGCCGTGGCTCAGGAGCGCACCTGCTCCATTGCCCCCATAGCAAGTTGCTTGCACCCGACAGGAGGGAGGGGCCAGGAGCGCTCTGCGAGTAGGATCCAGGCTACTCTGTCCAAAACCACTGCACAGAGAAGGTAAGTATGACATGGTTCTTTTTGTTGTGTTTTTATTTAAAAAAAAAAAAAGACTTTAGTATCACTTTAAGGCCCCTTTCAAATGGGCTTTGTTTGCTGTATTCAGCAGAGAATTGGTGAGCATATCCCCTGCTGGATCTTCACTGAATGGGACAGATGTCTGTTTTTCACATTTGTGTCTGCATTTTAATAGAGATTCGTAGTGGGTGCATGGGAAGCTGGATATAAACAGACATCTGTCCGTTTACATCAGGCTGCTCTGACCTGTCACTTTTAGGTCTGGAAAAAAAAAAATTTTTTCTGGACCCAGACCTCCTCAAACGGTAGGCAGGTATAAAGAGACGCAAGTCCGTTTTACAACTGCCTGCCAATAGACCTGCATCAAGCTTCCAAAAGGGTCCCCATGAAAAACTGGCAGGCAGACCTGATTTGTGAAAGGGCACCAAAGGGAATTTCTTCAAAAATCATCCATCAGTTTGAATCCCTTCATGTAATAACACAGGGATTATCAATGCTAAACGCTAGTGAACTTTGTGCTGATGCAATTAAAACAAAACATCCAAGGAATGTTATGAAAAATTTTATATACCAACTTAAAACATGTTTAACCCAATATCAAGGTCAAGATGGCTGCTTCGACTAGTATCTACAAACAGATATTTGAAACATGTACACATAGGTAAGTGTGTAGCACTATCTCTTTACAAATGGTGAATGGAATACAAATATAATTCACTATACTTTAAGGACAAAGATGTTCTATTGGGTTGCGGTCAGGACTCTGTGCAGGCCACTCAAGTTCCTCTACCCCAAACTCGCTTATCCATGTCTTTATGGACCTTGCTTTGTGCACTGGTGCGCAGCCATGTTGGAACAGGAAAGAGCCATCCCCAAACTGTTCCCACAAAGTTGGGAGCATGAAATTGTCTAAAATGTCTTGGTGTGCTGACGCCTTAAGAGTTCCCTTCACTGGAACTAATGGGCCAAGCCCAACTCCTGAAAAACAACCCTACACCATAATCCCCCCCTCCACCAAACTTTACATTTGGCACAATGCAGTCAGTCAAGTATCGTTCTCCTGGCAACTGCTGAACCCAGAAACGTCCATCAGATTGCCAGAGAAGCGTGATTCGTTACTCCAGGGAACACGTCTCCACTGCTCTAGAGTCCAGTGGCAGCATTTTACACCACTGCATTTAACGCTTTGCATTGCACTTGGTGATGTAAGGCTTGGATGCAGCTGCTCCGCCAAGGAAACCCATGCCATGAAGCTCTCTACACACTGTTGTGCTAATCTGAAGGCCACAAGAAGTTTGGAGGTCTTTAGCTATTGACTCTGCAGCCAGTTGGTGACTTATGTGCACTTCAGCATGCGCTGACCCCGCTCTGTCATTTTATGTGGCCTACCACTTGGTGGCTGAGTTGCTGTTGTTCCCAGTTGCTTCCACTTTGGTATAATACCACTAACAGTTGACCGTGGAATATTTAGTAGCAAGGAAATTTCACAGATGGACCTATTGCACAGGTGGCAACCTATCACGGTACCACACTCACTCACACTTATAAAAGTTTAATCTGGTACATATCATTAGATTCAAAGATCAAAAATTTTATTCAAAGAAAAATATGAAGAATTTTTTTTTTAAAAGGCCTAAAGCACTTTTCAGATATATTATTTTGTAATCTAATATTATGCATGACAATCCCTTGTCATAGATAGGTAGTGTGACCAAGCTACCTGTGCTTGCTGTCACTAAGACACTTTTATTAGCAGCAACGTGCTTTCTGTATCAACAATCATGAAGGGGTTAAAAAACACATATGAGCCACATATATACAGCAGCTAAAATAAGTATTGAACACGTCACCATTTTTCTAGGTAAATATATTTCTAAAGGTGTTGTTGACATTAAATTTTTACCACGTCTGTAAAATCCTATGCAATCCATACATACAAAGAAACCAAAACAAATAAGTTCAGAAATTGAGTTATGTGTAATAAAATGGAGTGGCACAAGGGAAAAAAAACTGAGCACATGAAAAAAGGGAGGTGCAAAAAGGCATGGAAAGCCAAGACTCCAGCTGAAATCTATCAGTAATTAGAAAGCAATCCTGCCCCTTTGTCAGTGCAAATTAATATAATATTCTAAACTTCTGAATGTTCCATAGCGCACTTTTGGGGCCATAATCCGGAAGTGGAAAGAACATTATTTCACCATACACCGGCCATGACCATGTGTTCCCTCGCAAGATTTTTGACAGAGGAGTGAAAAGAATTATCAGAAGAGTTGTCCAAGAGCCCAGGATCACTTGTGGAGAGCTTCAGAAAGACCTGGAATTAGCAGGTACAATTCTTTCAAAGAAAACAATAAGTAATACACTTGGCCTGTACACACACTCACCATGCAAGACTCCACTGCTAAAGAAAAAGCATGTTGAAGTCTGTTTAAAGTTTGCTGCGCAACATTTAGGCAAGCCTGTGAAATACTGTGAGAATATAATCTGGTCAAATGAGACCAAAATTGAACTCTTTGGTCTTTGGATAACATAATACACACCATGTTTGGAGGTCAAATGGCACTGCACATCACCCCAAAAACACCATACCAACAGTGAAGTTAGGACGTGGGAAAATCATGTGTGGGGCTGTTTTTCAGCATACGGTACTGGCAAACTTCATATCTTTGAGGGAAGGATGAATGGAAAAATGTACCAAGACATTCTGCTGCCATCTACCAGGATGATGAAGATAAACAAGGGTGGGACATTTCAGCAAGACAATGATCCCAAACACAAAGCCAAGGAAAACTATCAATTGGCTTCAAAGAAAGAAAGAAACTAAAGCTGCTAGAATGGCCCAACCAACACCTTACTTGAATCCAATAGAAAATCTATGGAAAAACTAAAGATCAAAGTTCATAGAAGAGGTCCACGGAACCTTCAAGATTTGAAGACTGTGTGGAAGAATAGGCGAAACCCATACCTGAGCAATACATGCGACTAGTACAGGAAG